TTGATGCAGAATTATTATGGATTTTTTCCAGCAAATTTTATTCGAAGAAACGACCGAACTATCTGGCAAAGACATGTTCGAATAATTGCTCCGGAACATACCCACCATACACGTCATGCACTGCTTCCCATTTGCTGAGCAAGCGGATTCCATGAGCGAAAAAGTTTCGATTCTTGGAGGCGATCACGCCTTGACCTTAGCCATCAAGCCATCCACTTCGTCAAAAGTTCTGTTCGTTAACCAATTTTTCAACGGGCGATTAACGTGATAATCCATGGAGGTTTCTGTTGGTGAATGGGGCAAACGTAGAAGCAGATCCCATTCTTTATTCAATTTTGGTTGACTGTTCTATCGCCGAAAAGTTCGTTGAGTTTAGGGCCGCCTTCCAACATTCCTCGAAGTAATAGAGCATAATTTGGCGTATATGATGATGACTTCCTAGACATATTTCTGTTAAGGAAAGCGAGAAGGTCATTTCCACAAAAATCCCGAATTCAAAAGTTCAATTTTATCGAGAGAAAGAAAGCCGCGAAAAAATCCGCAATAACTATGCATCAACCTAATACTTGCGGGCCTAATGGAATTGGAAAGTGCATCCCAAAGAGCAAGAACTCAAAGAATTCAAAATGAACTGGAAATACGCACATTGGTCCTTCTAGGATTTCTTCCCCTTCGGCCTAAAGTGTACGAGCGCGAATGGAGATTATAGTGAATAAGAAACGCACGTAAAGTGCGAATGATTGCAGACCTCGTCTAACTTGCTTTCAACGAAGTCTATTACCGCAACAAGCCCTTGCTGTTAGTTAAGTGGGTTTTGTGCTTTGCAGTCAATTAGCCTTGAACAGTGTGAAATATGCTTTATTTATAATACATGCCCAAATTTCGTGCGATTTGCCCCACTATCCAAAAAGTTACGAACGAAAGAGTGCGCTACTGTACATATATATACACACGGTTCGCAACACGCCCACCAAAAAACTTAGTTTTATTCAGTACATATCGCTTTCGTGAGTAGGCGTAATCCTGACGTATTCTCCACCCTAATGCTATCTATCCAGGTAATTTTCAAAAAAGATTATTCAACATTTCTCATAAGAATTAAGATTTCCGAGGTTTCATCTGAAAAGGCGATGAGATTCAACATATCACTGGACTGTGAGAAGTCATAAAAGCAATAACGAAATTAATAAAATATCAAGTTTCATCTTAACTTGAGTCACCTTTCTTTAGACCATTTATTGAGATCAAATGGGTCACCCCACTCCATATTCCAAAAACCAGAACCATCGGGTACGAGTAGTTTGTAATCGAGCTTTGCAGCTTTTGTGTCAAACTGGTTGAATATCAGACCACCTGCAAATCTGAAATGCAATCATCACAAATTACTGGCAGGTACTGAGAAATTCCTTTTCTGAGCCTCGTCTCCCTGAAACGAGCACGATTCAGTGAACCGCTCTGGCTCGTTACAGGGTCGAATGAAGACGTTACGGCGCCCGTAAAATGAAATCGATGATCTACGGGACGATATGTGATACAGGTGATTGAAAAATACACGCGAAGTTGGAAAAACAATGGATATATTAGGACTAACCTATTGGAGCAACCACGGTCAAGGTCTGTACGAAGTTCATAGCGTAAAAGCGCTTCGTCTTTTATGTACACCACGTCTACTTTTATAANCCACGGAATCGTGATTTTCATGTGTGCTGAACCGGAGTGAATCATTGAGCACGTTAATCGAATAATGATAGAAGTAAACTCGATCGAGGTCAAGGAATACATCACAGAAGCCCATAAAGCTAGCTGTTCAGTAGTTCGCTGTTTTTCGGAAATGAGCATATTTAAAATGAATTACTCAGGAAATCAAAAAATCAAAAAGCATAGAAATCAAGTTTAGACCATGGATCTTTTACTGAGCAAAGGAACAAAATCGTAAACTTACGAATAAGCTATAACTCTATGTCGACGCTTGCACCAACGATCCAGTATGGATGTGAACCGGTCAACAGTAGGGATGTCTCCTGCTCCACCTTCCAAGGGCACAGGCTCGAACGACCTAGCTGATGACAACTTCACGGTGCCACCCTAAAGAAGGTGCGATTTTGAGTGCAAAGCTTATATCAGTGCACTGACCAGTAAGACAATTGGACTCCAATAAGTTTTTGTTGGACAGCTGGTTGAAGAGCGTTCTTAATAGTTGATGCACCAGCTGTGAACCAAACCTTACATCGAAATCTATTCAAGAATAAACACTGGTTCATTGAGAAAGTACCGTCAACCGCAATATACAGGACTTAAATTAGGCAAAGGTGAACTGACCCTCACAACGAGCAACGTGACTGGAAGAAGGAATATAATTGGTAGAATCACTTCGAACAACGTCCATACTTTATTACGCCGGCTCAGAATCAGATTCTTGTGTGTCAGCAGCCATAATTGTCGCAAACAGTCACACATGCTGTTGAC